CCACCATGCCTGGCTAATTTTTTGATTTATTGTAGAGACGAGGTCTCACCAAGTTGCCCAGACTGGTCTCGAACCCCTGGACTCAGGCAGTCCTCTTGCCTTGGCCTCCCAAACTACTGGGATTACAGACTTGAGCCACCAAGCCCGGCTTTTTTTTTTTTTTTAAGTGACAGTTGTGACTACTTTTGTATGGTTTGCTTTTTCTGCTAGCTTGTGGGCCACCTTTTAAAATTACTGTTCTGTGTATGATTCTGTGGGATTCTTAACACTTCATTTCCCTCCTGTGGTATTTTCCATAAGAAAACCTCATTAGAGAGCTTCTCTGTATGGGAGGCATTGGTGACATTTCCCATAAGAAGAGTGAATGTGGAAGAAAAAAGAGTGGTTTAGGGTAGAGAATGTTGCCAATAATTAGCTTAGATGACCTAGTTTCTTTTCTAATTCTGAAATATCTTTGTTTCTTCTAGACTATTGTTAATTGTAATTCAGAGACAGTGCGTGTGTCATGAATTGAAAGGTGACTCTTTTAGCACCCCCTTCTTTTCAAAAGCCTTTGAAGAGAAGTCCAGCGGGCTTGCGCTTGGGCTCAGTGGTTCAGCGGCTCAGTCTGTAATCCCAGCTCTTTGGGAGGCCGAGGTGAGTGGATTGCCTGAACCCATAGGTTTGAGACCAGCACAGGCAACTTGGTGAGACCTCATCTCTACAATAAATCAAAAATTAGCAAGGCGTTGTTGCGCGCACCTGTAGTTCTGGCTACTTGGAGGGCTGAGGCGGAAGGATCACCTGAGCCCAGCAGGTCGATGCTGGGGTGGCAGTATGTGTGCCACTGCACTCCAGCCTCTGCGACAGAGACTCCAACTCTTAAAAAAAAGAAAGGAAGAGAGAAGTCTAATGAATGCACTAGATTAGAAATAGAATTTTTGGAGTAGAAAGAAAACTTTAGTAGTATGTACTTTGGTATTCTCATGTTACAGATAAGGAAGTTATTTCAATTTGTTGCTAACAGTTTGTTCAATTTGGTGATTTGAGTAGGGACACATCCTGGGAACTTTTTTTCTGTTATCATAGTTTTATCTCTCTTTCTTCCTAAACATATTGTCTAGACCCAATTTTTATTAGGTCTTTATTTCTCTGAACAGAGCTGGTTAAACCATATATTTTGGCCATAGACAAAAGAACAGTTGAAAATCTATACATAGAAAAGATTGTGATAATTTTTATTTGCACCTAACCTACTAAAAGTATGTTTGTCTTCTCTAGGATTTTGTAGACATTTAAATATGTAGAGAATAAATAAAGTAGCAAAAATTAATGACTTAAGTAATTTATATAAATTAAGTATTATAGCAGGTGGTCACATAGCTTGTAGAACTATTTAAAATTCTTTAATAAGATGTGCTATAGCTAGCAGTAGTGTCAAACTTTTAGTTTACTTGACTAGCATTTGCTGAGAGTACTTGGAAATACATTTGTTTTCATTTTGTGGGTCAGAGGGAGTTGTTCTGGGGGGAAAGGGGAACCGCCGTGTAGTAATTAGGTTTTATTTTTACATGTAGTAATTAATTGTAGTTAAGTTTCATTTTCATTGCCATGGTCTTCCTTTGATTAATGACCAGCAGCTAATCTTTACTCATATGGCGCTATCATGGGAACCCAGTTACCTGCTCTTTAGATCACAAACATTTCAATCATAAGTTTTTCTTCTAATATCTTTAGAAAGCTGCTTTTTAAAAAATCTGATGAGTTTGTGTTGTCATTAGGAGTTCTAGAATTTGGGAAAGACTCATTTAATCGGTCAGCAGAGGCTTACACTAACTATGTTGGTGAGGTATACGTAGTATAAAACTCAGATTTTGCTTTTGAGTTTATAAACCACGTAGAGATACATGTATAAGACATACATTTGTGAAGTATCCATGTCCTCTTTCCCTATTTTCTCAGTTTAGGTTAGTAGTCTGTCATTGTAGTCAGTTCATTGCAAATACCCTTTAGTTTCCTTGTCCCTGTAATCTTTTGTTTTACTCATCTGACTAAACCCAACACTAATTAAATCCAACTTGGCCAACTTGTTTGTTGAACATGGAGGAAAATGGAGACAACTTTGCTGATGAGTCTCATTTTAAGGAAACAATCTCAATCTCAAATGTACACTTGGTACTGCTAGCATTCCTATAATTCTCTAGTATGTCTGTCCTTGAAAATTGGCATTTCAGACATTTTCTTCTTTCCTTAAACCTCCAACTTAAACTCCCCTTTACTTTTTTCTTACATCATTCTTTTTAAAACTTGTCTTTATTGAGAAAATGAAAGCCATCACAAGGCAATATCCTTTTCTTTCTATCTTGAAATTCACTGAGTAACTTACATCTGTAGCCACTCTGCTACTTATCCTCTTATTAAAATGCATACAACATATCCCTTCCCAGGTAAATTCAGTTGCATACTACTTATGCCCTGGATTCCATTTACTCTCACTTTCTGATAATGTTGCTCCTATAGTTGTGTCTCAGTCTGTTTGTGCTGCTATAACAAAATACCAGAAGCTGGGTAATTTTTAAACAGAAATTTATTTCTCATAGTTCTGGAGGTCGGGAAGTTCAAGACCAAGGTCTGTCCTTAAGGTGGCAAAAGGTAGAAATGCAAGAAGGGCAAAAATACCTAGTTTGTTCCCTCCAGCCTTCATTCACTCCTTCATTAGGATAGAGCCCTCTTGAGTGAGTTACTTCCCAAAAGGGCCTACCTCTTAATACCCCCACAATAGGGATTAAATTTTAACACATGAGTTTTGGGAGACATTCAGACCATAGTAAGTTATTTCTCTTCTGTGTTGTCACTTCCTTCCCCTCTACTGGATCATTGTCATCAGCATTTCAACATGCTTTAGCATTTTCATCTTAAACTGTTCTCTGTTCTCTGATGTCATTTGTTCCTGCTGCTACTGAACTGTATTTTTATTTCTCTTGAACTTTAAAGAACTCTTTAAAGAGTCGTTGGTAGTTTTTCTTTCTCTGTCTTCTGTTCTTTCCTATTACTCCAATAGGCCTTACATATCTGACTTCTGTTTACTTCTCTAACCTCTTATCTTCCTAATCTTTTCTACTACCAGGGTTCCATTGCATCAACTTCTTTTACTCCCAAATGCCAAGTTCATTTCTGACTAAGCGTTTTTATTCTTGCTGTTGCTTAGTCTGGGGAAGCTCTTCCCTGAGATCTTCAAATGAGCATTCATGTTTCAGAGATGCCTTTTTGACATGCTATGTAAAAAGTATTCTTTCCTTTAATTAAATACTCTCCCTTTTTCTACTTGTATTTCCTTTATAAAACTTACCACTGTCTGAGTTATCTCTTTTAATTTTTTTGTCTGTTTATTCCCTTTTATGGAAAGGGCCCTTGTCTTTGTATCTAAAACATTGACATGAAGGAGATATCTAATTTTTTTTTTTTTTGAGTCAGAGTCTCACTCTGTTGCCCAGACTGGAGTGTAGTGGCCGCTCCCTGCCATCGCAACCTCGACCTGCTGGGCTCCAGCGATCCTTCTGCCTCAGCCTTCCAAGTAGCTGGAACTACAGGTGTGCGCTACCATACCCGGCT